CAGAGAGAAAACTGTATTCTTGCTAGCAGAGTATCTTAAGAGCCATGGCATTTGTGAAGTGACAACCCCAAAATCTGACCCAGGAGGGCTCTGAATGGAGAATCAACAGGGTGGATGGAGAGGACTTCGGTGAGTGCTGAGGAGGAGGCTCAAAGAAAGTCCATCACAGAGAAGATCCTGGTGGGCAGGTGACTGGAGAACTGGAAGAACAAAGGTATGTATGTTGTTTGTGTGGTGTGAGAACAGTTATATGTAGAGAGTGTGATCAAAATATGGGGTGAATATTTATTTTTTAAAAAATTTTATTACAATGAAAGACACATTGCCATGTATGCCCCTCACTTCAAACACGCTTAGCTCATCACACTTGCCGCTTTCTGTAGCAGCTCCGGAAGTCCTCTTTCATGAGTATCTTTCATTGCATGTTTCAGGCAGCTAATATGCCCTGAACTGATTCAAAATGTTGATCTTTTATTACCGTTTTGACTTTGGAGAAGAGCTGAAAGGTGCTCAGTGCCAGATTCGGTGAGGAAGGGGCGCAAGGACACACCGTAATATTTTATTTGACAGAAACTGCTGTAAATGTTCTGAATCAGGTCAGAACGCCAAGGCAGGCGCTCACAACAGAGGACGTCCAGAAGGGTTCACACAGTGCCGACAGCAGTAGAAGTAGTGTGTTTGAAGGGTGTGTGTTAGTGAGGGGAGATTTTCAGGGACCCATGGTGAGGTCTTTTACTGTAATAAATGTTTAGATTTTGAATCTAAATGGTCACCCTACTTTTTGAACACACTGCATATCCCGTGAGCTGACAATCCCCCAATCTTCACTCCTCGAAAGAGAAGGAGCCAACCTGGCCTCGTGACATTTTTACAAATATGTGGCGGACAGCTCTCTCCTCCAAGCCTGCACGCGTGCATGTGTGCATGCACATGTGTGTGTCAGTGAATGAGTGTGCGTGTGTGTGTGCGTGTATGGCGTCAGAATCAGTCTTCACCTTCTTTGAGGTATGAACCTTTCTTAGGAGAGGGCTCTATGGCACTTGCTTACCTGTGCAGTGATCCTGCTACACTTCCCACCCTGCCCCACCCCAGGGGACACTGGCGACATTCAGTGGGCAAAGGGGATGCTGCCAGGCAGTGCACAAGACAGCCCCACCCCCAAAGAATGTCACAGCCGCCCACCCCCGGGCAGCCTCGTCTCCCTGCCCAGCAGGCCAGTGCCTTGCAGTGAGCCTGCAGCGCGGAGCCTGCAGCACGGAGCCTGCAGCACGGAGCCTGCTCGTACCAGGCCTGCCGTTGCTTGGTCCTGCGTCTGCAGCCAGGCAGGGTCCCCATGATGTGAGGATGGGGGAAAGCGCAAGGAGATGTGCCACTGGCACCGGCTAGGCCGGCCTCGGGCGTGCAGGGGCCTTCAGGGGTGACCTGGCCAGGGCCACGAACTTGAGCAGGGAGGAATTCCAGGGAAAGGCCTATGAGCCGCATAGATTTCCGAGGCCTCAGCGGCCACCCAGGTTGTGGCGTGTATGTGAAGAACTGGGTGATTTCTGTGAGAGCTTCACGAGATGACAGCAGGGGCTTCTGAGGGTTTAGGTGAGCACCTGGCTTATTTACCACTAATAGGTTTTTGTTTGTTTGTTTGCATCGGGGCCTTTGCATTGAGCTACATCCCCAACCGCTCCCCACTGCTTCTTGTTCTTCAAAGTCGCGTGAAGTAGCCCAGGCTGGGTCTGGAACTTGCCATCCTCCTGCCTCAGCTTCCCAGAGTACTGAGATTACACTCGTAGGCCTCTTCATCCTTGTAGGGAGGTGGAGATTGTCCCGAGATCTTAACCAGCTTTGTCTGGTGACGCAGAAGTCAGGCAACACTTCATCCCATAACACAGGAGTGCTGCGCCGGGCTGAGCTGGGAGCTTGGCTATCACAGTCAGAGAAGGGCTGAAAAAAGCAGAAACAAAGAACAAAAAGACGATTGGCCAATTCAAAGTCGCTTTCCTTACATGGTATGCATAGGGAGAAAGAGCAGTAGAAAATAACTGACTGGTTAACATCAGGTTACTTTGTGAGGCTTACAGCAGAGTGAACTTCATTATCAGATGGGCTGAAACCAGCTGTTTAAGAAACAGTGCTCCTCTCCCTCCCCGCTTCCCTCTCTCTGAGTACTGGGGACTGAACCTTCCTTCCCTCGTGTCCCCGGGTTGGCTGAAACCCATCGAGTGCTCCTGACCTCACTCAGGAGCACTTTTGGCCTTCACTAGTGCTTGAGCCTCCCTTACTAGTCCCTCTTTGACCTCAGGAAACCTGCATGGCCTCAACTAATCCTCCTGTCTTCCTCCAGTCCCCCGGCTCCAGGGAGCCCCCACCATCGAAGTTTTCCACAGCTTCGGCTTGATGGGAGGGTCTCGCGCCTGCGCGCATCTCAGGGCAGGGCCTGTTGGGGCGGGGACGATCCATGTTCCCGAGGCCCAGCTTCGGGGCCTCCGCCACTGTCTCGCAATTGAGCTTTCCTCTGCTCCCTTCGGATGAGCTCTGCCTCGAGCTTGGGCTTGGCAGTCAGAACTGATGGAACCTGCATGACCATTAGGCAGGTCTCTTCCCCCACTTTCCAGACAAGAAGACTGAGGCTCAGGTGCTGGGTATGGGGACGCACGACTGCAATTTCAACACTCCAGGTAGCTGAGGTAGGACGATGGTTGCAAGGTCGAGACCAGCCTGGGCTACACGGCAAGACCCTGTCTCAAAAAAACCCCAAAAAGCAAACAGAAAAAGAAGACAGGCTAGAAAGGTCAAGTAACCTGCAAAAGACTGTGTTTTCAGGAGATTAAGGACAGGATACTCATTTTGTCTGATTTAGAGCCACAACCAAACCCAGCCCCTTGGCCTGGGCCGGCCCTGCACATGCTGTGAACGCGTTTATGGCTGTGGGGGCCTCAGCATCATACACCCAGACCAGTGGTCAGGTCCAGCTTGAGCTGAGACCAACCCAGAGCACGTCGGCCCAGAACCCAGCGAGGATGTCGCTTGTCTCCATCCGGACTCCACGGGACGATGGTGTGAGCCTGCAGAGCTCCTGAGTAGGGTGTCTGCGGGGGTGGGACCCGCCACTTGCACAATAATGGGGCTCTCTGTTGGAAGGGAGGCTGCTGAGCTGAGCTGGCTGCTGCGCAGAAAGTGTCTGAGCCTCTCCACAGCCAGGTCTCCATGGAAATTAGCTTGTGGAGAGAAAAGAGCTATTTTAGGGCCATGTGAAGGCAGAATGCGCAAGGCTGGGGTTAGGGAAGGTAGCGGTGGGAGAGAGCATTTCTGAATGACTCCCTTATTGTCCTCCTGTGGGGTGGAAAAAACGGCTCAAAAAAGTGGCGGGAGCCCGGGGGAAGGAGGAGCTGGCCGGGCTGCCCTGTCCCTCAGGTGCGTGGAGTGGCGGCAGCCACCCTCCCGGCCACAAAGCATGGTGCGGAGGGGCTGGGCAGCCCTGTGAGAGCAGCACCGTCCTGCGTGTGGGCATCTGGGGCTTTCAACCAGCTATCGCATGGTCACGCAAGGAGGGGAGCTGCTGCTTCCTGCAGTCTCCGAGAGGGTGGGGTGGTGCATTCATCTCAGGGACAGGGCCGCCCTGGGAGGAAAGTCAGGTCATCAGGAGGTGGCGAAGCTGGTTCCCCTTCCCACGGCTTAGTAAGGGGACCTGGGCATTTGGGAGACTCAGGGTTGTCAGGAAAGAGGACACTGAAGGAGCTGGCCGGAGTGGACTCGAGGGACGAGGGTGGCCCAGAACCGGGAGGCTGCTCGGGGACTTGGGCCAGGTGCAGAGGATGAGATAAAACTTTTTCCATTGCAGTGTTCCCAGTTCTGGGCGTCAGGGGGCCCCGGCTGTCCGCGTATACGCACAGCCCAGTCACACAGCCCGTCTCAGACTGCGGGAACACAGGGACAGGGCACTGACTGCTCAGGTGACTGCACTCAGGGTGAGCGTGACAGGGAACGACAGGCACAGCCCACGCTGCTGCCCGCCGCTTGCTCCCCTCGGGGACCTGCAGCGTCTGAGGGCAGGGCCCGGACGTCTCAACCTAAGCTCGTTGCTGTCCCTGTGGATGGCAGCCTGGCAGCAAGGGTGTCCCAGGCGCCGCAGGCATCAGTGCCCTGACCCTGGGTGTCTCCAGCTCCCCTTCCACCCTCGTCCTGTTCTATCGGTCGGGTTCCTCGTAGGACCAGAGTGCTGGCTTGCAGGGGTGGCTTCTACCTGTGCAGGGCGAGAAGCCAAGCTTCGGGGTGGGGCTCCAGCCCTGCCCCATGGGTCCCCACGCACCACTGTGGCCAGCAGGGAATGGTCTGCTCTGTGGCCGCCACTGAGCAGCCTGAGGCAGCAAGAACGGCCGTGCCGGGCTACAGCACCCTGCAAGCAGCACCAGGCCGTCCTGACGCTGGGCTCCTGACCTGTGAGCCCAGCACCTGAGCGCGGTTGGCATGTGACGATGCTCTCTGGAGATGGACTGATCAACACCATTTCACTTTCTTGAGACAGGATTTCACTACACAGTCCAAGCTGGCCGTGAACTATGTAACTCAGGTTGGCCTCCAATTTGGGACGATCCTCCTTCCTCAGCCCCCCGAGTGCTGGAATTACAGGTGCAGAACACCATTCCTGGCTTGATCAGCATTTACAAAAGCTCAGAGGCACTGGGCGTGGGGGCACACACTGTGATCCCAGCACTGGGGAGGCTGAGGAAGGAGGATCACTGTGAGTTCAAGGCCAGCCTGAACTGCATAGCGAATCCTTGTCTCAAAAAAACCCCAAAACCCAAAAAACCTCCAAAACCCTGAAGAAATTTGGGGGCTGCAAAACAGCAGGTATCAGGGGACACTTACGGATGCTGGGTGGCTGCAGGGTGCTTGTCTGGAAAAGGTGACACCCTTGTCCCTGTCCATAGCTGGGCTCCCATCATCCCCAACGGCCTCCCCCAACCCAGCTGCTCCTCTGCAGGGCAGAAATGGGGAACAGCCACACAGCCGGGTGAGAAAGGCACAGTTTATTGGTCACACAGGCAGGGCAGCGGCGCATGGTGCGTACCCACTGCCTCGCTCTCACACACTCCAGGTCAAGAAGCAACATGAGAAAAGACACCAAAATCTACTCTCCTCGTAACCAAGGACACAGGGCTGAAAGCCACGGAGCCCGGGACTGACAGGCCCAGCCTTGCTGGAGGGCCACGGGGGCCTGGTGGCGCCGGCCGCCTTGAGCAGTGTATGGGAGCCCAGCGTGTGGACCCCGCAGGGCCTTGGACATCCTAACCCCAGGGTGAGGCCGGACCGCCTGTCTAGAACTGCAGTGCTTTCCTGCTCTCGCTCAGGCAGGTCCCTGCTCCCCATGTGGCTGTGTGGGACCCCGGCCTTGGCTACAGCAGCGTGTATCATGGAAGCTGGCCCAGGACCGAGCCCTGTGCCCTGAATGAGTCACTTGCACTCTCCGTGTCCCCTCAGCTGCGCCTCGCTGCCAGGGCCAGCCTGCTTAATGCTTCGCCCAAACCTCAGGATGTGTGGGCCTGGGCACGTGGTTCCGCCTGGCGGGGGCCTCAGCCCTGGACGCTGTCCCCACACAATGTCCCTAGAGCAGTTAGTGATGTGTGTGGCACAGGCCAACTCCTCTGCCACGTGGCCACTATTATTATTAATATTATTATTATTATTATTTATATCTCCACCCCCAAATTGGCACTTCAGTTCTTTTCCTCTAAATGGCGACTCCAACAAGACCCTGGGGTCCCAAGTACCACAGCCACGCTGGGGACCCGGGGGTGCGGCTGCCGTCCAGCGTGTGTCCTCCTTCCAACAGCGGCGCCGGCTGTCCGGTGTCACAGTCAGCGCACTCCACGGGCCACACAGAAGCGAGGCCCTTTCCCGAAAAACACAAAGCTTTGCACAGGAAGCGAGTAGGGGACCAGAAGGAGGCCATAGGAGAGGATTCTAAGGCTTCTGCTGCTCCTCTGGGCTCCTGTCACCGTAAGTCACCATGGCGTCACTGCTGGACAAGAAAGGAAGGGCTGTCAGGGACCCGCCTGATGGGATGGCCCTGGGGCCCTGCCCGCCATGGGCACGGCCAGCTTCCTGTGGCATGGAAAGAGCCTGCATGCTCTGTTCTGAGCCTTTAACACACATGGTGGGATCAAAACTACAGAGAATGCTGAACTACAGTAAAAATATTTGTATTCATCCTCCTCAAAATTCCCCCCAACTTGCTTCAAACACCCTTAGCCCTTCACTCTTGCCACTTCCTGGAGCCGCTCTGGAAGTCCTCTTTCATGAAGGTCTTTAGCTGCTCTGTCCTGGCTGCCTCGGTGTTCTGAATCGATTCAGAACACTGACCTTTCACGGTCATCTTGACTTTGGGAAGAGCCAGGATTTGCACAGTGCCAGACCCAGCAAATAAGGTGGAGAAGGACACAGCATCGTGTTTGTAGGAACCTCCCTTTCTGTTGGACGGCGCTTGGAAGCAGCATTCACTGCATTTCTGATCACACCTCGCCAAGCCACTTGTTCAAAGCAAGTGAAGTATTTTGAGGGACATTAATGGCAATGTGTCTTTTATTGTAATAATTTTATTTTTAAACATTCACCATGTTTTTGATCAGGCCACTTATTCTCATAAACATGAATTCTATCATCCTAGTACTCAGGAGGCTGAGGTGAGAAGATGGCTGAGAATTTGAGAGCAGCCTGGGCTACACAGTGAGTCCAAGGCCAGCATAGTGAGACCCTGTCTCAAAAAAAAAAAGAAACAAAAAACTAACTAACAAAAAATTCCCCGGAAACCCCAGAGAAATAATACATAATACCACAGAGCACAGTTCAATTTTCTCTATAAATCTATAAGACAGATACCATTAATAGCCCCATTCTACAGATGCATAAATGCAGCCTCGGGCACAAAGCCAGAAACTAGGAGAGTTAGGAATCAGATCTAATACACTTGTCCCCAACTCTGGTTTTTAAATTCCTTACTTAATTAGTTTATTTATTTATTGGTGTTGGGGATCGGATGTAGAGACTTACACACACTAAGCATGTGCCCCAGCTCCCAGCCTGTTTTCAATCACGCAGTTTTGCTCCGAAAGAAATCTACTTTACAAGAAAGGAAGGAAGGGGACACTGCATCTAAGTCTCTACGTACCAGGATGTTTTCAACATACTGCTAACACGAAGCGTAACAGTGAACTGCAAGGGGCGCAGGCTCCTCTTTACGCCCCTCCGGGCCTGCCGGGGGATGGGACTCACGCACAGTGCGTTCTGGTCCCTTTCAACAGTTTCCGTAGAGGCAGTGCAGGGTCAGGAACATGGGCAAGGACAGGCCTGGGTTCAGATTCCGCCTCTAGCTCTTCCTCACAGAGCGGCCTCCGGGATGAGCACAGGCACGCAGGCACACACGCACACAGATGTGCACACACGGTCATGCACACACATGCACTCACGGGGGCCGAGCTCACCTGCATGGCCGTCCTGCCCAGCAGCCCCTCCTCAGGCCGGTGCTTGCCGTGGTGCGGGAGCTCGCAGTTGTCGCGGTAATCACGGCTCTTGGCGTGCTGCAGCTGCAGGACAGCCGGGCTCTTGGCTGGCAGGGGCGGCCGGGGCGCAGGGGTGGGCGTCTGCTGGCTCACCTCGGACCGGGACGGCTTGATGGGCCTCTTGGCCGGCACCGGGGCCTGGGAGCCGGCGGGGGCCTTGGGCTTACCCTGGCCCCGGTCCCCGCTGGCGGCCCTGCCCTCGGGGGAGGCCGAGCAGGTGAAGGAGCGGAGGCGGGGCGCAGGGCTGAGGAAGGGCGTGGGCGCTGGCTTGCTTGTGCCCTTGCTGCCCTCGGCCTCCGACTCTGGGCAGGGTGGGGGCTCCTTCCGCAGCATCTTGGGGGACTCCTGCTCTTTCCTGGGGACCAGCTTGGGGAAGGCGCTCACAGAGCCGTACAGCGGGTTCTCGAACATCTCCGGCTTGCTCAGTGGCAGGTCCTCCTGCGGGGTTTCGGATGCACCCTTCCCCAGCTCGCCGGGCCTAGCACCGAGGGGAGGAGACAGGAGTGGGCACAGGGCCTACCGCACAGGGGCTGGGGGGCACCGAGTGGCTGCTTCCTGGGACTGGGCTTTTGTCCAGCGTGATGAAAGCTGTTTTGGAACCAGTCCAGCACAATACCGACTACTGACCTGCGTAATACCAACTACTGGGAAGGCGGTGGCAGGAGGACTGCAAGTTCTAGGCCAGCCTCAGCAAGTTAGTGCTATCTGTGTCTCAAAAATATTAAAAATAAAAACATAGAGCTGGGCGTGGTGGTGCACCCCTGAAATCCCAGCACTCGGGAGGCTGAGGCAGGAGGATCCTTGCGAGTTTTTTTTTTTTTTTTTGGTTTTTCTCCAGTACCAGGAACCGAACTCACGACCTTGCACTTGCCAGGCAGGCACTTTGCCGCTGAGCTAAATCCCCAGCCCCGATCCTTGTGAGTTTGAGGCCAGCCTAAACTGCACAGTGAGACCCTATCTCAAAAAAAGACAAAAAAAAAAAAAAAAAATTGGATTTGAGTCAGGTGTGATGGCAGAGACCTGTAATCCCAGCATTCAGGAGGCTGAGACAGGACAATTGTTGTAAGTTTCAGGCCAGCCTGAACTACATAGTGAGACTCTTTCCAAAAGCAAAAACCAGAAGTTAAAGTGATTGGATCTGAAAGATGTTTTGGAAACAGCTAGAGGTGGCAGCTGCAATAACACTGTGAATGTACCAAACACCACCAAATTGTTCATTTTGAAATGGTTCATTTTATGTTCTACACTCATGACGTTGATAAAAAAGTAATAAATAAGATGAGAGATGGCCATAAATAAGATGAATAATAAATAAATAAGATGGCCATCCTCGCCAGCAACCTCAGTCCTGACCTTGAACCCAGAAGCAAGAGGGACTTAGCCCCTTCGTAGAAGGGGAGGCACAAACTCACCGCCACCCCTAATCCCAGCCCCACCCTCAGCAGATGAGCTGCCCTCCTGTCCCTGCAGCAGATCAGGGCCGGCCTGCCCCAGGTCCCTACAGTCTCCCCTCTGCCCTCTCTAGCAATTCCACCCTGAGCGCCCCACCCCCATGGCTGCTAAGAGGAATGGGAGCATTTCAGGGGTCCAAGGGACCATGTGGCTTCTTCTGTGACCCTGTGTGTTTCATGAGGGTCTCAAGATGCTCCGTCCTCCAGATTTGTAGGAAGCTGCCATGTACCCAAGAACAAAACAAACCAAACCTGTGCCCTGCTGGCCTATATCTGGATTAACTCAGTTTGTTTGTTTTGTAGTACTGGAGATTGAGCCCAAGGTGCGCTGAGCTGTATCCCTAGTACCCCTACCGCCTTTAAATTTTGAGACAAGGTTTCATAAGTTACCCTCAAACTTGCAATCCTCCTGCCTCAGCCTCCAGGCCTGCACTGCTGTGCTATTGGCTTGACTGGCTTCTTCCCAGTGTTACAAAGTCCCCTTCCTGGAAGGGATTCCTTTGTCACAGAACTCATCACTGGAAGCAGCGAACAGTGCAGCAGTTGAGACAAAAGCCAGAGGGGACACCGACAGACACAGGCACGGGGACAAAGCTAGGGGAAGAGACCGGTGCATGGGACTTGTGGGCAGAGAAGAACCGTTGGTCATAACAAGGGGCGGAAGCTGCCTTTGCTGCTCTCTGAGTCGTCACTGCCCTTACTTCCTGCCATGTGGCTCGCTCGTGGGGATGAGGAGTGGGGCACCTTTTCCTGTTGGCCGAGGACAGCGTTCTGCTGACTGATGGGAGTGTCTGCGCTGTGGACCCATCCTGCGGGGGACGCACGGCCTCCGCTCCTGTGCAGCCAGGGCCCATCGGCTCCTTGGGGTGCAGCTGTGGGCTCTGGGGGCCAGGAGGGTGTCCTCCTCAAACCGTTGCCAGTGACAGCAGACTTGGGGATGTCGGGGAGACGGCTCGGGGGCAGGGCCACTGCACTTTGGAAAGACCCTGAAGCCCGTGTGTAAGGAGAAATGTTGCTGGGTACGGCGACACTCCTGTCACCCCAGCACTCGGGAGGCTGAGGCAGGGGGATCACCATGAGGTCAAGGCCAGCCTGGAGTGAGCCCTGGAGTCACAAAATCTATGTCCTGCCCTGCCCCGCTCTCGGGGACCCTCCTCCCATGTCCCCACTTGAGGGGGCGATGTGGGTGCTCCTGCATCTCCTCTGCCTCTTCCTGTATCTGAGAACTTCAGATCGTGGCCCTGGGTCCTCTCCGGCCATGGCAGAGGTCTTGAGGGTCCAGCTAGGTGGGGAGGGGGAGGCCTTCCAGTCTGTCGGAGGCCTCAACATTTCTAGTTTTGCTTTTTTTTAATTTTGGTTTTGTTGGTTTTTTGAGACAGGGTCTCACTATGTAGGCCGGGCTGCCCTTGCACTTACTACATAACCCAGGCTGAACTCACAGAGATCCTCCTGCCTCAGTTTCCAGAATACTGGGATCACAAGTGTCACCACCATACCCGGCCTCCTTGTTTTTGTTGTGAAGCAAACTGAGGCTGTTTTCTCCTTCTCCTACGTTTCTTTGAGAATGATCAGAGTTTCTCAACTATTCCCAAGAAATTGTGACAACCAGAAGTGGTCTAGCTGCACTGAGCCAGGGGTCGTCCTCAGTATCCCAGCCGGCCCTGCCATCCCTTCATCTGCCAAAGGGAAGGGCTTCAGGAACAAAACTGCCTGTGTCTCCAGCCTGAGAAGCCTCAGCCACACCGGCAGGGGCATGCTGAGCTCGAAAGGCCAGAGGACGGTGGCTTCGGAAACATCACTGAGGACTCCAAGGAGAAAAAAGGGAAAACACAGCGTTAGGCAGAGGGCCCACAGCAAATGCCCAACATCACTGTAAAACAGTAAAGAGGCTGAGGCAGGAGGATTGCAAGTTTGAGCCTAGCCTGCCCAACGTCACAATTTAGCACGACCCTGTCTCAAAAAAAAAAAATTCCAAGGGGAAGGGGTTGTAGCTCAGTGAAGGCCCTGGGTTTAATGCCAAGTACACCTAAAACAAACGATAAAGCAGCCTAGCAGCCCCCGGGGTCGAGACAATGCGTGTGCTGCTTTGCACGCCTTGTATCACTGGGACCTGGGCTCAGGAAGGTGGTAGGACGCCCCGCCCGGGCTAAGCTTCCTGCCCCCAACGCCTGCAGAGACTGAGTCACATGTGGGAACGGAGCCCCTCCAAGCTGGGAAACAAGCGGCCCTGGGCTGGCAGGGATGGGAACCCCGCCCCCACCTGAGGGCCATGCAGGGGCCGGGCGATGCCTGAGGCTTCACTGGGTCCAGAAAAGCAATTTTCAGCAAATGTAATTTTCATAGGCAGTTGCTTTGCTTGGCAGTATCTTCAAACATTCCTATCAGCACCTTTTAAAAGTGCACAGCACTGCCCGGCTAGAACACGGCAGTGGGGCAGGGCAGGACATAGCATTTTGTGACTCCAGGGCTCACTCCAGGCTGGCCTCGAACTCATGGTGATCCCCCTGCCTCAGCCTCCCGAGTGCTGGGATGACAGGAGCGTCGCCGTACCCAGCAACATTTCTCCTTACACACTGGCTTCAGGGTCTTTCCAAAGACCCTGCCCTCCGAAGGCCATGCTAGGGCGGACCCGGCAGGCCGAGCGACAGGATGCTTACCTAGACTCCTGTGCCCTGGGGCAGGTGCCCCTGTTCGCTGCGACAGAGTTGAACTTCTTGGGCGACAGTGGCGCCTGCGAGGGTGGGGTGGGAGGGCTGTCCCCTCTCCCCGGCCCCAGGGAAGAGTCCTTGGGCAGCGGGTCATAGCTCCAGGCTGGAAGCGGCTGGTCCAGCGACGGGGACATGGTCAGCTTCACGCGCGTGGGCTGCCCAAAGGTAATGTAGCTGGGATTCATGACGTCGTTGAGGCCCAGGGCGCCGCACGGAGTGGGCCTGCAGGGAAGACAGAGACACGGGTCAGGGCTCATCCTCTCACCGGCCTGGGGACGGCGCCCTCGGGTGTCCCTCGGCCCCTTGGCTTAGAACTGGAGGGAACAGCTCAGACCTGGGCGAGGAGATCCCGCAGCGACCCCGCACACGGCCTGGCATCAGCAACGACCTCCTGTGTCCCAGGGACCCCTCTGCAGCTCTCCAGGGCCCCCGCGCAGCCCACCTCCCCGACACCAGGGCCTGCGTGGGCCACAGCCGCGCCCTCATTCTACTCAAAATGAAAAGGACTCCCCTGGGCAACCGGCAGCCTGGCAGACACCAGAGCTCAGATGCGCGAGAGGATACGGGAAGGAGGCTGACGGGAAACACCTCGGGGCTCGAGGCTGGGACCATCGGCAGCGGGAAGTGGACCCAGCAAAGGGCTGCGAGAGCTGCTGGGGTGGCAGCCTGTGGGTGCCAGGGCCCGTCCCGGGCCCTCCACAGTGAGCAAGCACAGGGACCAGGCCCTCGCTGCCTTGACTCGGGAACTCAAGACGTCAGCAACCTGACGCGATCCTCTTATTTTGTTTTTTGAGGTAGGGTCTCACTATGTAGCCCAGGCTGGCCTTGAACTCCTGATGGTCCTCCTGCCTCAGCCTCCCAAATGCTGGGATTATAGGCCACCACGCCCAGCTATGACCCTGTTACTGGGGACTGCAGCCCTCTTGTACCATGGACTCTAATGTCCGGGTTACTCCCGGTTCTGTCTCTCTCAAGAGCAACCTGGGTGTGTTTCCCATCAGTATCGGGAGCCCAAGGACTCCTGGCTGCTGAGATCCCTGGTCTCACAAGAGACACAGCTACCACTGTGACCTTGGACCCCCCAGCATCTCTGCAGCCGCTTCCTCCTGGACCGCACACCCTCCCACGTGGTGCACAGCGAGTTCCCAAGGTGGGGTCTGCACCTAACTTGCCTTGTTTTCTCCAGCACCCAACCCAGCAGGTGCTCAGCAAACGCTGGCTGAGCGGAACAGAGCCTCCCTACACGGAAATCTCCCAGGCTTCCTCACTGCCACAGGGACCTTTCCAGAGAAGCGGATCTGTGGTCTGAAGACTGGAGCCAAGGGCAGAGAGAACCCTCCTGGGCTGGGCAGGAGCCTCCCTCCTCTGACTTCTGTTTGTCCTGGGCCCTGCTCTGCATGGCTGAGCTAGTGTGCGACAAGTCCCCAGGTCCTGCCTTACCTGCCAGCAGGCTCCCACTGCTTCATGGGGTCCTGGCTGCTGAGGTTCTTCAGGCCCTTTGGCCCACTGGGCTCATCCCGCTCTGTCTTCACGAAGTCTGGAAGGCAAGGGCCAGGAAACAACACATGAGGGCCCAGCTCTGGAGTTTGGGTCCAGGGATGGCAAGGTGGATGAGAAATTATGGCTACTTGGGGAAGTGTTTTAAGCAAAAGCCTAAGGCCTCCATTCAGTAATTGATTAGTTGTGCCTGCCATGCTTCAGGTATTTGGTGATTGATTAGTTAGGCCTGCCATGGTTCCAGAAAGAGCAGAACTGGCATGTGTGACACAGTTGTTATTTTATGTGACAGCCCTAACTTGATTTTAGCAAGGACAACACAGATAAATTGCTTATCAGATTAGAACAAAACAAAGGTCAACAGTGGCTCCAAAAACAGCATTTGGTACTCAGGGCCAACCTGTGCAGGGGTTTTAAGGGGAACTGGAACCCCTGTCTTTATTTCCAACTCTGGCTTGTGGCTGCCAAGGAGCCAAGCCCCATCACTCCAACCCACTGTGTGCTGCTGGAGAAAGGAGCTCTCTCAGGGCAAAGAGGAACCAGATCCATAGAGACAGCACCCTGGGTAGCACTGCATGCACCTGCACGCTCATCTTGGCTGGCCACTGACTAGGAACATAACTTGCAGCCAGTCACTTAGTCTTTGTGTGCCTCAGTTTCCCTTTTTATCAAACATGGACAATAACACAGGGCTGCTGTGAGACATAAGTGAGGTGACGTGTGAGATGATCACTTTGCACGTTACCATGTCTTTATTGATGTCCAGTTCACTTTAGGCATTGTTATTTCAGTGCTTAACAGGGGTTACAGTGAAGGGGAAAAGGAAAGAAAAAGAAAATCAACTGTTTAATGGGAAGTACCAGTGTTAATTTGCAAGTTTCAAAGCTTGGACACAGGCACAGAAGAAAATGACAAATTCACATCTCAGCACACTGTGTTCTCCTGTGTTAGCAGGGTCTTTACAACACAGCGGGGACAACTTTTATCTGAGGCTTAGATCAGCACGGTCTCCTCTGAGCATTGCTGGCGGATGACACTCCGGGCTGGTGTTTCACAGAGGGCAACGAAACAGTCATCGTGACTGCTAGGGAACGTGGCTGCCTTGGTGTGTGTTCATGCGTGTGTGCGTGTGCAAGAGTGTGCATTGCTGAGGACTGAACCCAGGGCCTCCTGCACTCAAGGCAAGTTCTCTACCCCTGAGCTACATCTCTAGCTCTGGTGTCATGTTCTGGGAGCAATAAATGGAGCTTCTCAGCAGCCAGCCGAAGTAAGGAAGTGGCGTTTAAGAGGACATAAAGATTTCAGGTCAAGTTCAGAAGGTGCCCCGCTGGGGGACAGATTTGGGGATGCTGCTGTTTTGAAGGCAGCTGGGGCGGGATAGGGGAAAAACGAAACAAATGTGTAAGGTCAAGGGTGGGGACTTCTGGGTGTAAATGGTGGGTGACAGTGCACTGGAAGGCAATTTTTAAAAAATAGTACTGGGGTTGTCCAACCCTCAGCCACCCAATCCCACCCTACCTTTATTTTTTTTTTTTTGAGACACAGTCTTGCTAAGTCACCCAGACTGGGGCTGAACTTGTGATCCTCCTGCCTCGGCCTCCCAGAGAGCTGGGATTACAGGTGTGTGCCACTACACCTGGCTTAGAGAAAGTTATCAATCAGGACAGGATGAGTCAGATAACCTGAGCTCCTTTTTGCCTGGGTTGTGCCCTGAGACCACAGCAGAGAGATCACTGGAACCTTGGCTGTGAGAAACCACATCTGTCCCTAACGTACCTGCAGGCTGGGAGGGGCCGGAAGGCTGACTTACCGTACAGTCTCTCCCTCTTCTTGCCCTGGGAGGTCTGCAGCTTAATGGCCCCCCGGAAGTGGCCCGTCATCTCTCCATGATGGGTGAGTGGCGTATAGATGGGCAGCTGGGTTTCCGTGGCCTCCAGCCGAAGGGCGATGCAGCCTTCACCTGGGGGAAGGAGAGCCGACAGCAGCGGCGAGATCCAGGCATCGTGGGAGGAACAGGAGCGTCAGCTTAGAGACTGGACCCTACCACCTGCAGACAGCGCCTCAAAACAATGGCCCAGCCAGTCGTGGCGGCAGATGCCTGTAATCCCAGCACAGGGGAGGCTGAGGCAGGAGGATCACCCTGAGTTTGAAGCCAGCCTGGGCTCCATAGTGAGTTCATGGGCTGCATAGTGAGATCCTGTCTCAAAAAACCAACCAACCAACAACTAAGCAAAGAACAGCCAAACAAACAAACAAACAAAAACAATGGCCAGGCAAGGACCAACACATTTCATAGCCCCTTTAGAACAATGCTGCAGCAATCTGGGGCAGATGCCTCAAACCTTGCAGCAAAATGAACTAAACCCCATGGATTAGTCACTGTGAAAAGAAAAGTTAAATCCTAGAAAATCCAGCAGACAGAATTGAATGCTAATCTGGCTGCTGCCGGGGAAACCAGCTTCCCAAGGGCTGAAACAATGCAACAAATGACAAATCAAGATGGGCAGGGAGGAGGAGTTCTTTTCATACAAAGAAAAAACTCTAAAATCAAGAGGAAGCCGACCTTGCCCAACAGGAAGGGGCTGCAGCTCCGTACGGGGGCTGAGATTTGGACTCAGCAATACAGGCAGAACTAGGCTCAACTTCGGGCTCAGTCAGTTATTTTCCTGGGACCTGGGTGAGTCATTTGTTCCCTCTGCACTTTGGTTTGTATCCACACATTTGGGAATGGTGTTAGGTTTAGATCTAACACATTCCTCAAAGTAGTGTGTGGTGTGTGTGTGTGTTTGTGTGTGTAAGGTGAGTGGATCGGGGGGGTGCTGCACCCATCTGTGGATTCATCCATTCAGTTTAGTAGCTAAGTGTGTTAGGAGGTGGGGCCTGCCTGGAGGCGGCACTGGGGCTGTGACCTGGAAGGGTGTGTTCTTGTCCCCAGCTCTTCTCTCTCTGCGTCCTGGCTACTGTGAGGTGAGCAGCTCTCCTTGGCTATCTGCTGTACTATTTCTGCCTCAGAGCCCGCTGACCAGAATGAACCCACAGAACCCGCGAGGCAAAATAAAGCTATTCCCCTTTACACTGTGTGTGTCGGGTGTTGTGTTCCAGGGATGGGAAAGCTGACTAAGGCAGTAACTCACATCAGATGAAATCACGTAATACCTGCAGAGTGCATAGACTGGACACCCAGGAAGGCTGCACACGTGGGAGGGACCTTGGCTTTGGACCATTATACCCAGAAGCCCACGGGACAGGGAAAGGCGAGGAGGGACAGGACAGGGATGCTTAGCTTACCGTAGGATTCGTCACTGTCAGAGGACTTAATGCTAATCAGGATGTGCTGGTCCAGCAGGTACTCGGGGTCAGAGATGATGGGCTTCAACTGCAGGGAGAGGGCACGGGATTAGTGCCCACAGGTGGGGGCAGGCGAGGGAACTGGTGGGTGGACAGGTGGCCGTGGAGCACAAGTAGGAAAATGGGGCTGAAGATGCTGTCATTAACCGGGTTCAAGTCTCAACTCCCTGGGTCTGAGAGCACGCTTAGGAACCTAGGCCCAGCCTACCGGGCAGCGCTTAACTTTCTTCTCATCCCCACCCCCTACCACCTGTGACCCAGGCGTCCTAAGCTGGGCTGAGCTCCCAAGCCCCAGAGACAAGGCTGACCCCAAATGGCTCCACGCCCACTGGTTCTCCCTTCCTTCCCACCTCTGCAGGGTCCACAGCCAGATCTGGAATGGGCTGTGCACCCCACTGCCCCAGGCTCCCCCAGGAAGGTGCCTTTCTTCCCTTCAGGTCCTCCTGAAGGATGAGGATGAGGCCAGTGTCCCCGTCACACAGGGCCCTCCCAGCTGGGTCTGCAGCGTGCTACAGGTTGCTGCGGGTGCGGTTCAAGGCACGACTGCCAGACTCTGACTTCTAGCCCTGGCCTCAACTTCCAGATGCAAAAATCGCTCAGAGCCAGGCACTGCTGGCCTCCGGAGTGCCTGCTGGTCTGGCTCAGCTGGTTGAGGCCAGGTTTTGCTGGTTGATGCAGACCTGTAGGGCCTGTGGCTAGCTCAGGGACAGGTAGCACCGCATTAGCTCCTATGCTCAGCTGGAATTTACGTGTTTCTCTCAACTTCAGGACCCTCCTCACAATGACACCACCAAAAAGGGCCAAAATAAAAAGGTCAGCGGCTCAGGCTGTCCCTTCCCTTCCCTTCCCTTTCAGGCACCAAAAGTAGGCTCTGGGCACCACATTGAATATCGACATGGACTCCCTATTCTCTCTTGAGAAGGTTCCAGAAAAATAACTGGAAATTGCAATGGGCCCCTGAGTAAAGGGAATTCACCCAAATTAGGAGCAACCACGGCTCAGGCGTGTCCTCTGCTCCCGAGGTGACAGGGCCTCCTTCTGTGGCCCAGAGCTGCTCCCATCAGTGGTTAACAGTGGCATGGCAGGCCCAGGCCCCTGGAACCTGCCCGTGACGTCCCCTCTGAGGGCATCTTCTAGGGCAGCCCTTTCTCCTGGATGCCTCTTCTTTGGGCTCCCCCCAGTGATCTGAGAAAGAAGCCAGGGCCGCTCACCGTGCACCCACACTAACACCTGGAGCACCTCCCGTCCCTCAGGGTCACAACAGCAGTTTGGGCACGGAAGCATTTTTCTGTATAAAGCTGTTTATACAGAAAACAGCTTTCTTGTTTTTTTTTTTTTGTTTTGTTTTGTTTTTTCTGGTACCAGGAATCGAACTCATGACCTTGTGCTTGCCAGGCAGGCGCTGTGCCACTGAGCTAAATCCCCAGCCCCAGAAAACAGCTTTCTATTCCCACTAAGGAGGCCTGTGCAGTTGCAGGCCCGCCCTGGGTCACGAGGGTCGCGGCCGTGTCAAGTGCTCCCCATGTTCACAGGGCTCAGGCAGGCATTGCGGCTCCTCTGTACGTCCTTAGGTGAAGCCGTGGGCCAGCCCTGAACAGGAGAGGAAGCAAGGGGGCCAGGCAGCGGACGTGGGAAGGAATGAGGGTGTGTGATGTGCAGGTGCCAGCACCCCACGAGGATGTGGTCCTCATGCACTGTGAACATGGACTGATAGAAGATAAAGTTCTGTTATCAGAATAGTACATTTTACCAGGTAGACTTCAAAGAAAGAAAACAAAGGGGAACTGGGTGTATTTGAGACTGAGCCCTGGGTCTGCCACTATGGATGTGTGACCCTAAATGAGCCTCTTGTTCTGCACCTTAGGGCTACCTGCTTATTTATTTATTTTTGGATTTTCTTGAGACAGGGTCTCACCACGTAGTTCAGGCTGGCCTTGAACTCATAGCAACCCTCCTGCCTCAGCCTCCCAAGTGCTGGAATTACAGGTATGCGCCACCACACCCCCCCCCACTATCATTCTCTTTGTAAAATCAGGTGATTATGTGGGGACTGCTAGGTCTTGTCCATGCTCACTGAGGACCTGAGAGCCATTTAGGAATGTCAGGGTCACTGCCACCCTGCTGCATTTAGTCTGTGGGAGTCCAGCTCCCTCCGGCCGGGCAGGGTCTCAGCTCTGCTCCCACCCGGGCTGCTGGCCTGGTGCCTGAGGCCTTCTCCCTGGGGAGCATCCTCTCTCTCTGAATTACCTTGGGAAGCGTCTCGCCGAACTTCACCACCAGCTCCCCCTCACTGCCCTCTTCGTTTTCTCCTTCTTGGCTCTTGACAAAACCTGTGTGAGGACAGGAAGGCCGGTTCGCAGAAGACAGAGCAAGGGCCACACGCAGATCCTCCCGGGCCACCTCCCCCGGCAGGGAGCGGTTTCCCTTCTCATCAGTCTTGGGGGCCTCCGCGCTATCGAGGAGTCGGGCTTGCTGAGGACCCTGTTTTGTGCAGGGGATGGTCACTTGCCAACGTGCTCTGATTATTTTTAGGAAAATCAAAGAGATGCCCCCTCCTTTTCAGCTCCCCTGTGTGATAAACCAGGCAACAAAGAAATCATCACATCCCAGGCAGGAAGATTGGGAAACATGACAGCTCGTCCCACGCCACTCAGGATAGCAGCCTTTTGAAATTCTAATTTAAGCTTCCTAATATGCCGTTTCCATAGAAATGTATGCAAATGTCTCTATAGTTTATTAAAAACACCCGCAGAAAAAATCCTCATCCTTTCTGGAACTGCTCTGACCCAGCTTGCTGCACTGGGGCTTGGGGACTTCGTGGCAAAGGCCACTCTGTCACCAGGGCTGAGCCGGAGGAGAGACAAACGGGGGGCCAGAATCGTGGTTGGTGACGACTTCTGGTTTCTGAAAGCATTGCATCTATGCTTCCGTTTGTGGAGTCAATTCCTCACCTCCCCCTCCACTATGCAGCGAGAACGACAACCAAGAAAGAGCTTGGGATGATAGGCCTGGAAATGTCACCCAGAAAGAGTGCTTCCTGACTGACGGATGAGGGGGCCAGGGCTAGGCAGGCAGGTTGGAACGGGTGTTTAGGGCTCTCGGTGGCTCCCACAGCGTGCGAGCTTTGCTCGGGACACTGGCCGAGTTACAGCCCAGCTTGGGGAACTCGAGTGGGTTACAGGTTGCTGAGGGGGTAAGCAGAGGAGCCAGGGCCCACAGGGATGCAGGGGTCAGTACTTCGGTGGCTGCTCACATCCCCAGACCTAGCAGAGGGCCTTCCACGGCAGCCCCAGTCCTCTGGCCCCACTGAGGCCCATCTGTGAGTCCTTTGCAGAGAGAGGAGAAACAAGGCCGGGCTTGGGGCAGAGTCCTGCCTGCCCCACCCAGGGCCGCTTACTCTCCAAGCAGCTGGAGTGGAACTCCAGGTAGAACTTGGTCTGGGACTTCGTCTTCAGAGTGGCATAGCACGCAAGGAACTCGATCTGCCCTTGGCTGTCCCCGGTCCCTGGGCCTGCAGCAGGTGGGAACAGAGGTTCAGCCGCAGTATGCCAAGGTAGTGCGTTTCCCACCAGCTCCTCTCCAAGGCTGCTTCCCCCAAGGGTCCCAGGAAGGGCAGAGTCCGGGAGGAAGTCTGCCTTGAAGTAAAGCTACAGGGAGAACCACCGCCCACCCACGCCAGGCACTGTGATGACGGCAACGGCCTCTCTGTTCAGTCCTGAGCTGGCCACCCAGGAGCAGAGCACAGGGAACAGAGCTCAAGGAGCCGAGAGCTAGTCTCAGCACTGTCCCCAAAGCTCTATGGCCTCAGACAACCCCTAACCTCGCTACACAGTCTGCCCACTGGGTCTGACAAAGAAAGCTGGTACAACAGCCCAGATACTCACTGTCCTAATCTGTTCAGCTGCGTTTTTGTTTTGCTTTTTTTGAGACAGTCTTGCTGGGGAGTCCAGGCTGGCTTTGAGCTCAAACTGCAATGATCCTCCTGCCTCAGCCTCCTGAGTACTAGGATCATGAGTGTGTGGGACACTGCACACGATTTCCATCTGCTCTTTCTCGCTGAAGCAGTGACCCCAGTCCTCACCCTGGCCTCTGATCTGTCTGTAGCACACAGTGAACTTGTGACTGTGGACTTTGACGGTGCTTTCACTATCGTCCTTAAGCTGGCTTTAAACATTCTTTCCTTTCCTGTAAATTCTGAGCGACTTGGGAGCAAGAACAAATCTTTCCTTTCATCCCCACCGCCCGTCTGTCCTTCCCTTTATCCTTCTAAGCTCCATAGCACCCGGGCCAGCTTCCCTTAGGTAGATACTCAATCCAAGCCCCATCCAAGGGATCAGGATCTTTGAGCCTGAAATGGATGTCACCAGTGACGAGGGAGGTGACACGGGCCACCCCATAGAGGCTGTAGGAACTCAAAGAGGAGATGGTGGGGCAGGGATGAGAAGGAAACTAAAGGCTAATTTCTGGAAGGTTCTGGAGAGTTCTAGAAGGTTCTGGAAAGGCAGTAGTAGAAGCTAGAAAGGAGACATAACCTCCGAGCAACGTCAAGATGGGGTGAAGGGAGGGCATGTTGTTGGGGCTTCGGGTACCAGACCCGACAGTGGATGAACAGCACTCCAGAAAGACAGTGTCCCAGCCTCACCCTCAGGACACAGGACAGAGTGAGAAGGCCAGCCTCCGTCTGGCTGGATTTGGGCTGTCCATCTGCAGCCCTCCTAAATGAGCCCAAACTGTTTGCTGTACAGATATAGGGAGTGAGCAGAGGTGATAAGACAGCCCTGGCTCCTAAGGCTGAGGGCCGGATGGATGCATGACAGGGACTGCCCAGCCCCTGCTGGGACAAGGGCGACCTGATGACCAGGGCTGGACAGCTTGAAAGACTGCCCGAGAATCTAGTGTTTCTGGAACTGGGCGTGGTGGTGCACACCTGTGATCCCAGAACCGGCAGGAGGATCACTGAGCATGCAAGGCCAGCCTGGGCTATGCAGTGAGTTCAAGACCGTGCTGAGCTACATAGCAAGACCTTGCCTTAAACAACAACAAAAAAACCCAAAAGAAACAAAAAACTAAAAACAAACAAAACTCTAGTGTTTTCCAAGACTCAGCCGCCCACACCTGGACTTCCACAATTTCTAACATCTCCAGCACCACGCATCCACACTAATGTCTACTTAATGTTTTCTTTAAATAGACACAATTTGAAAGCATAAATGTAATTAAATAAAGTATACCACACTATTAAATGGAAAGCTAAAGTACTTGTCTTCCCCAAAGAGATCAGTTTAAAATATATTGGGAAGCTGGGCATGGTGGTGCACGCCTGTAATCCTTGGGAGGCTGAGGCAGGAGGATCGTTGCGAGTTCGGGACCAGCCTGGGTTACAAAGTGAGCTCAAGAGCAGCCTGAACTGCACAGTGAGACTCTGTCTCAAAAAGACCAAAAATAAATAAATAAAAAATAAATAAATGAAAAATAAAATAAAGGGGCTGGGGATTTAGCTCAGTGGCACAGTGCCTGCCTGGCAAGCGCAAGGTCATGAGCTCGATTCCCAGTACTGGAAAAAAACCAAAACAAACAAACAAAAAATGAAATAAAATATATTGGAACAAAAGTGTCAGTAATCAACGACCGTCCCTGTCCCCCACCTTGGGTGTGCAGGCCACCCTCTGGTGGACACCGATTCGTGCGGTCTTTCACACTACAGCACACTGAGTTTGCAGTAGGTCGGCGTATCTGCCAGACACAGCTCTCCAGACTGAAACGGCGACGCGGCCCGCACGCCAGGAGCCCGATCGGCTGGCTGGCTCTGGGCTTGGCGGGAGAGTCGGCCTCAGCCCACGCGGACCATGGCTGGCTGCAGCCAGAACTGAGCGCCCAGGCTCCTTTCTCCGAGGAGAGCAGAGACCAGTCCCAGGCCACAGCTTACCGTTCTTGGAGACGAACTGGGAGGTGACCCCTGCCTCAAACGTGGCAAACACAGGGCTGTGGTCACTTGTCATGATGTCGCTGGTGCTGCCTGCATGGGAGGGAGGGGAGGAGGAGGAGGCCTGCGGTCAAGCTGTGGACAGGTGACACCAGCAGTCGGGAACCCGAGACCAGCGAAGGCAGGCGTGGGCAGCTGAGTCGGGGTCACCTCCCAAGGACTGCCACCTGGCAGTGCCCAGGGGCTGGGAGGACAGGGTGGTGGTACTTTAAGACCCCGGGTTTCAGGGTAGCGTGTCACGTGGACCACTGACACGCCAGCTGTGTTCACAGTGAGAGACCGAGGTCCCTGGCTCACCCCGATTCCCAGGACTCTGAACCTCCAGTGCCCTCTCTTTCCCAACCCCCTCCTTCTCCTCCAGCCCCAACTCACTAAACCTCCTGCTGTGCCCTCAGTGTCCTAAATCCCACCTCTCAACCTCCCAGCTCTTCCGCCTCCCCCGCCTGGCGGGAGACACGGCAGCCCCTTCGCACACTGGGCCCGAGGTGGGACATCTGTACTCGGTGCTCCCCGCTGTGGAGCAGTTCTGGGAGCCAAGGTGAGGCTCCCGGACCGGAAGTGTTGTTCCAGGAGCTGCCACGGCCTCCTGGCTCTCTAACGCGGTGGTTGGTGAGGGCAGGTGGCTGCCTCTTCCCAAGACGAGAACTGGCAGGATGTGGGAGGGAGGCGTTGATGTGACCGAACCCGGCTGTAGCTGCGAAGGGGTCACACGCCTGGGGGCTCCAGTGTGGGGGCAACGCGCAGCTCTTTCAGATCATCTGATTAAGAGTGGGGGGAGCGCGCCCATCTTCCAGACAAGCAGACAGAGGCGCCCCAGTTTGGTGTTGTTCCTGCAAGCTAGGCCTGACTCACCGTAGGACTGACACACCACGTGCACCAGGGGATAAGACTTCCAGAGGACTCGGTCGCACCAGGAGGGCAGGTTGTACTTCATCTGCAAACAGAGTCACAGGGTGGTGAAGCGTCTGCTACTCTTTTCTTTTTATCCGGTAAGAAAAAAGACAGGAAAAAACGAAAGAAAGAGAGAAAAGAGTAGGAACTCCCAAATCCACAAATCCACCTGACTTTGCTTTTTTAATGCCAACCTCACATTTCAACCCCTTTCTGGCTATTTTCTCTAAAATTCTCCTTTCATGTCATCGAATCAATATGCCTGGCAAAAAGCTCTACACTTCCCGTGACCCAGCACTGTCTTCTGATCTTCCAGTTTTTATTAATGACAGCCAGATCTTTCCACACACCCTCTTTTCTCTCATTTTCTCCATTGCCCCCGGCTTCGGGTGGCCCTGGGTCCCCCACTGTCCCATTCCTCTGCCCCTCAGGACCCTGCCCTGGGCTGGCCTCCCTGGGTTGAACCCTGGGAGGGGGCATCTGCGTCTTCCACCCAAAATTTGCCAGTTCCTTCCTGGCCACCGTAGTCACTCCCCGTCTCAGGTTTCAGTCACGTGTGGGCCCCTGTCTTGTCTTCCTCACCATAAACTCCCTGGGACAAGCAGCTCCTTCTGCTCTGATCCTGTCACCTCAGAGAGCGCCTACCCCACTACAGGCCATCAGGAGAGCTCTCCCAACAAGCAAACGAGCAAATGTGTCACTGCATCCTCCCCCAAACCCTGTTCCTCGAACACAAGCGACCTCCTAAGACATGGAGAACCATAATGCTCCGAAGCACATAACGGCTCTCTGAAGTCCTACAGGGAAGAAACCTATTTAATATTGATTAACTTGGGAATTTAGCAAAATATATGTGATTACAGGACCTTGGGTTTTTTGTTTGTTGTTTGTTTTATTTGCCAAAAACAGGTTTCAGAACCTGGCTACAAAAGTAATGATTGAATCTCCTCTTAGAACCTTAGTATCAGGACAGGAGGTAAACCATAAGGGTCCCTAGTTCAGCTCTATTATTACTATTATTATTATTATTATAGTTATCATTATTAGTTTTGGTTTTTAGAGACAGGGTCTCCCAATGTAGTTCAGGCTGGCCTTGAACTCACTATGTAGCCCAGTCTAGACTCAAGCTCATGATGATCCTCCTGCCTCAGCCTCCCCAGTGCTGGGATCAGACGCGTGTGCCACCATACCCGGCTGGTTCAGTTCTTTTCAGTGTTTAAGTGGGTTGTGCTATTTTTTTTTTTTTTTTGGGTTTTTCTCCGGTACCGGGAACCGAACTCACGACCTTGCGCTTGCCAGGCAGGCGCTTTTGCCGCTGAGCTAAATCCCCAGCCCCGGGTTGTGCTATTTTTGATCTGACACAAATTAACATATGATTTCTTTTGCTTTCTTTCCTTTTCCTTTTCTGTTGCCCAGTGGTCAAGGAAGCCAGCAGGAACCTGGGGAGGACTCACCCCCGTCGCTTTCTGCTTCGTGTAGGCGTATTTGTCCCGAGTCAGTCTTTCAAATCGATACGTGGGCGCAAATGTGATTTCTTCCTCCTCTGAAACAGATGGGGTCTCAGTGCTGACCGCCAGGTCTCCCTGCTCTGCAGACCCGGGCCTCCCCAGCAAGGACATCCAGGGGACTGGGGCCAGCGGCAGGGGCACAAGGAGAGACCGCTCACCAAAGTGCAGGAAAACCTTCTGCTCCCTCCGCTCGGTGAGCAGCTGGTCGTGGGCCAGCAGGTCTGTGTACTGCTGCTGCCGGATCTTCTGGATGATGGTTTCCGCCTCCTGCAGCAAGGCCGCCCCGTGAGACCCCCTCGCCCCGGCCTGGGGACCTGGGCTGCTGCCCCCTGGAGCTCACATGTGAGAGCAGCGGCGGCAGCGTCCCAGCAGCTCAAGTCCCTGGCCGGGGCACACTTGCATATAGACTTTTTATTCTTGCACACTGACTTAATACCTTTTTCTTTTCTTTCCAGTACTGAGAATCAAACCCAGTGCCACTGCACTGAGCTATATCGCCAGCCTTCTGAGACAGAATCTCTCAAGATTACTAAGCTGCCCAGACTGGCCTTGAACTTTTGATCCTCCTGCCTCAGCCTCCCAGAGTATGGGGATTACAGGCATATACCACCGTGCTCAGCACAATATCGTTTTTATTAATACTTCACAAAACAGGTAGGTCCGCTTTGCCTTCTCTCGCTTTTTCTGTGGGCAAAAGCAGGGACAGCCTGTGCCAGCTCCCGAATCTCCAGGCACAGAGATACCCTTCCTGGACCCGGCCTGCCAGCTGAGGGACTGGGTGACTGGCCAGCTGGGTGATCCGAGGTCATAGTGATCATAAGTAGGGGCGGCCGCGACAGTCATGAGACCAGAGGGGGGCCGCGAAGAAAGGCCGAGGCTCCCTGATGGGATGGCACTGAGCCCAGGAGGAACTCTCATGTTTCCACGATCAGCTGCCTGTCCCTATGCCCTCTGCCACAGCCCCCAGCAGAGGCTGCTTACCCAGGTGGGCAGGTCCACGCGGTAGTTGAGATCCCCAAGCCAGAAGAGGTGGGTGAAACGGTGAGTGATGTTAAAGGGACTCAGTTTCCTGTCTCCCAGGGCCAGGAACCGGAGGATGTTCATATAGTTTTGGTTTCTCCTAATTCAAAGGAAAAGCACCATCTTGCATGGGGGTCACTGATTCCCACCCCTCAGGGCAGGAAGTCAAGAGGAGCGTGGGCAGCCCGGCGTGGTGGCGCATGCCTGTAATCCCAGCCCTCGGGAGGTTGAGGCAGGAGTCTGAGCTACACCGGGAGTTCAAGGCCAGCCTGAGCTATACAGCGAGACCCTGTCTCAAAACGAAAAGGGGGTGGGTCCCTGGGGTCAGACCACCAGCCTGCCGCAGTGGGCATGCAGGTGGGCAGGGCGGGATACGAATGGGCTTCAAGGCCAGGCCGGGAGCTCAAAAGGTCAAAGCCAAGTGGTGGGACCTGCCGAGCCGCGCATCGGAGCAGTGACTAATGTACAAGGCCGTTTGCATCCCTGGCAGGCAAGATGGGCTTTATCTTAAGGAGCCCAGCCGAGGTGGCCACGTAGAAAGAGTGGTAGTTAGGTATCCAGCAGGCTAAGGACACAGACATCTTTGCTGTCCTCCAGACAGAGTCATCCATACTGGAGGTCCCCCCAGAGCCGCAGGTGTCTCTGCTGAGCCCAGGAAGAGCCCGCAGGGCCGCATGTCACCCGGAAGGTCCCAGGCTGAGTGGGGGATTAGGGCATTTGGAGTGGGAGCCGTCTGGGCAAGGGACCAGACCCAGACTGCCAGGGAAGGAGCCCCGTTACCTGAGCTTCTTTTCACTTCCGGAAGTCAAGTGGCTGTTGACAAACCCCAGAGAGGTTCCGTTGAACATGAACGACACTCCCACTGCTCCCTTGTTCCCTAAGCGGGGACAGAAGAAGAACCAGAGTGTCCAACCGGCACATGCGGAGGGAACTGTGTGCCAATACGAACAGAGAAATGGCAAGGAGGAGGGCCAGAGAAAGCAGCCAGGGTCCCCTGGGGTGATGGTGACAGGTGGACAGCCAGCAGTCTTGGGCTTCTCCAAACTGACCAAGGACCCTCACCAAGAGCACAGCTTTTCCTCCCTGCCTTTGGAGTTATACAAGACTAGTGGTTCTCAAAGTGTGTTCCCTGGGCCACCTGGCAACCTGCCGGGAGGAGGAACACCTCACCCACTGGAGCAGAGGTTCTGGGGGCCTGGGAAGGTGTGTGCACGGGCCCACTACTGGCTCAAAATGGGTTTGACATCTTTGTTGGGGAAATAACATCGAAAGAAATCTTTCAGGACAATTAAAACATGAAGGACCTCAGTGTTCAGGCGCAAGGTTTTATGAGAAAACCTTTATACAGCTGTGCCCCGTGGTCTCCGCACTATGTCTGTGAAGCTGCTTTCGGGCCAGGCCGGAGCTGGGTGGTTTCAGAGCATGCACAGCCCCGAGGGCCGCTAGAGTCACCACCACCTGCCTTTCACAGAAAGTTTGCTGACCCCAGCTCCCTGTGACTTCAAGCCAGGCCGCGTCTGAGAACCTGCTCTGTCCCATTCGGCAGCCACAGGCCACAGGGGGCTCCTGGGCTGAGTACCAGGTTGCCACCCCTCCTCGCCCTTGGATCTCGGCTCCCCTGACCCAGCAGAGCTGTCCCCTGACCTCCCCTTGGTGGCGCCTGCCTGCTCATGCCGAAAACCACCTTCTTTGCACACTTTGCTTGTGGACCTTCGGTGGAGCCAGAGAACTGGGACCCCCTTCACTTGGCAACTACCCTGTGTCCAGCCCCCAGCCTGCCACGGCCCTGCGGTGCTGGACCCAGAGCTGAGGCACCCGCTAGAGGCGAGGCTGGCAGAGGAGGTGCAGTGTGATTTTGTAAGGAGAGGTCAGAGCGAGCTCCCCCTGCGGGCAGGGCCCAGGGAGAAATGGAACCCCAGCAGGGAGAGTTCCCACGACCCACGCCTCCCCAAGCAGGAAGTCCAGGGGACACGGGGGCATGGCCACAGCAGTGTGAGGTTTACCGGCAGAGAGGCCGGGAGCTGTGCACGTGTGATTGCAGCAATCCTGCTGCTTCCTGTTACCTCTAGGACTGTCCCGCCCCGGCTCCAACTACCGCAGAGTGCTGCTCTGCCCCTGGCTCTACACGAGGCTCTGGGTGTATCCCACACACATGCAGCTGGACACTCCCAGGCACCCCCACACTCACACACACACAGACTCACTCACAGAACAGACATACATAACATACCCAGAAGCACACACTCATACACATAGGATGGCATGCAGACTCACACCTGTGCATAGATTCACATGAACACACTCACACACATTCAATGTCAAGCCCCCACAGGTATGCACTTACACATCCATACACAGGCTTGCATGCCCACACCCCGCACTCACACACACCCATATAAAGTCACACACTCACGCACACCAAAGCCCACGCCATCTTCCAGCTCTGATCTCTGCTCTCTGGGGCACCTTGGTTGAAGCCCCAAGACTTAGAGCGGCGAACCTCATCTCTACCTCTGGTCTGGGAGAACAGGGACCCAGACCGAGGTGGCAGCTACACCCCGTGGGCAGTGCCAGCCTTGGTGGGAAAGTCTCCTGTTCCTTTTTTGTGTTGACCGTGGCAGCTCTTAGCCAAAAAGGCAGAGATGAGCCGTGGCGTGTAGCCCACAAAGCCTAACACGGCGACTACCAGCCCCTTCCCAGCAGATGTGCGCCCACCCCGTTCTAGGTTCTTGCTATTCAAAGCGAGGCCCATGGCCCATTTGTCCCCTCCAGAGCCACCTGGGAGCCTGCTGGACCAGGGGCTCCAGCCTCCCCTGAGGCTTAGTGATTCAGAACCAGATCCCAGAGCCAGCATGGACCCCTGACTGCTCCAGCCACGGTACCAACTACCCGGGTGTGCCAGGACCGGGCTCTCAGGGGTCGATCCCAGGTGGGAAGACGTGACAGCAGGCCACAGGGGCCGAGGCTCCCGCCCGCTCACCCAGGGTGTTGGCAATGCCGGTCTTCACGTTGTCGGTGCAGATGTGGCTGATCCGGTTCTCGTGCTCCGGCTTGGCCAGCACCACGATGCGGATGTTCCAGAGCGTGTGGACGGCGACCTGGCAGGAGGACAGCGTTGCCACACTTGGCAAAGGTGCCGTGCTGGAGCCCAGGGCACGGTGCTGCACCCCAGCCCCAGCCCCTGGGAGCAGGGTGCCCTGTCTCTAACCCTCAGCCTTTGGGGTAACTCTGAGCAATGCCAGCAGCAAGACAGCAACTTAAAGATGAGACTTAGGGCGAACGCTAGACCCAGGAAGTAAAGATGGGCTCCGACCAGCAGGGCTGGGGTCGAGGGGGACTTGGTGGTTTTCAGCAGTTGCCCAGGGGCCCCACTAATTTCCGAGTATGGCCCTTGCTGCATCTCTCTGGCTCTGGAACGGAGGGCCGCTGAGTCCCCGATGTCTTTGGAAGTGGGGGACTGCGAGGCCGAGCCTGCCCTGGCACCGGGCTGCTCCTGGCCAAGCAGGGCCTGGAGCCTGGGCAGCCGCTCACCGGTTTGAAGGTCATGCTGGTGACTTCGCGCAGGGAGTGTCTGAGTATCTCCAGCCACTCCTTCTCCCCCAGGGGGTCCTCCTGAGTGCCGATCACATAGATGTCATGCGGGATGTAGTCCGCAGAGTCGTCCCGCGTCTTTCCCTGCCCCTTGGAGAGAAACCAGGACGTGATCTTCTTGGGAGGGGGGGCGTTACCTTCAACAGCAAAACCCAACACCACGTGAGTCAAAGGCTCGGCAGGGAAACGGGTGGGGGCGGGGTAGGGAGGGGACAACACAGTCACGTGAAGCCATTCAGGCAAATGCCCTAGACGGCTATTTAGGTGCCAGTAACACCCGGAGTGCCATTTAGGGGTCAGAACTCAGGAGTCTCTTTTATTTATTCCTTTATTTATTTTTTTTGGACACAGGGTCTTGCTATGTAGTTCAGGTTGACCTTGAACCCTCAGCAATCCTCCTGCCTCAGCCTCCCGAGTGTTGGGATTACAGGTGTGCTGCACCATGTCCAGCCAAGAAAGTCTCTTCTTTAAAAGACGAGGTTAAATGCCAAAGAACCCGAACGCCAGGAGATGCCCCATCGTGGCTGGAGCTCACTGGAAAGATGGCCAGCACCACGCTATGTACTAGGGCAGCAACAGAAACTGCACCATAGCCCTGGCCCTCAGGAATCTAAGCCCCAGGGAGTCCTGTGGTACAGCAGCAGCTAGGGCTGGCAGGTGACCACCTGTGGAGTCCCCTTCCACCCTGCCCATGGGCAGCAGGGCCCCAGCCAGCTCCTCCCACGTCTTAGCTCCGAGGCCCCGTGCCACAACGTGAGCCCCGAGGAAGGCTGGCACAGTGTCGGGGTTAGGAGCTCTGAACAGGACAGGTGAGGAACTGGGAGCCCTGAACAACTTCAACACCAGTGTGGCCCCTGCAACCTCCACGTTGGGCCGGGCAAGGTTAGGGATGAAAGGCCTTGTGCGACAGGGCCTGAGAGGGCCTGAGAGGGCCGGGTGTCTGGGACCCACCGAATCTCCCACCTTCTCTCCAGGAAGCTGGCCCAACCTCTGCCACCCTTTCATTTCTAGGTACCCCCTTCTCCAGAGGCGCTGCTCACCCCTTCCTCCAGTGCTCTGCTGGCCATTCTGCGGGGCAGGGACTGGGGTGGCCTGACTGCCCCACAGAGGCAGACTAACGGGAGGTGGTTGGGTAAATCTGCCCCGCGACAGCTGCTCATCTGACACTCAGATGCAAGGGGCACCTTCTCCCTGCTTATTTCTAGCTGAATATGTACTCCAACATTCCTTAGTATAAAACATATAGTTAGCCTGTCTATCTGCCTGTCCATCCATCCATCTATCCATCTACCCATCTACCCATCTACCCATCTATCCATCTAGTATATCTTCAGTGTCTATTTCTAGCTGGGTACTTTCTCTACTTAGTGTGATTTATATTTACATGCTACCTACAGTGGTCACGGGGTACTCATCGTTAACTGGTTCCAGGAGTGTGATGAGGGCCACACAAATAGTTTTGTCTGGAAAGGGCAGCAAGTGCTGGGGCCACCGACATTGACAAGTTCTACTTTGGGTGTCCAATGAACTACTGCATCAAAATGTGTCATTTTGCTCAATACGTTTGCAAGCACTTGAGTATCAAGCTATCACTGTATTTAGTATATAAAATGTATTAGCATAGAAGTATACATGCTATATTAGCAGTTATATTTGGTATTTATTTACTTACTCCCAGACAAAAACCCGCATTAAAAATGTACTTATTCTTTATATGAAATTCAAATTTAACTGGGAATCCCATTTATCTATCTACCTACCAACTTCTCTTTCTGGATAAAACAAGGGTAGACGTCTTTTTGTTTGTTTGTGAGACAAGGTCTTGCTATGTAGTCCAGGCTAGCTCTGAACTCATTTAGTAGCCCAGCCTCAAACTTGTGGGGATCCTCCTGCTTCAGCCTCTCAAGTGCTGTGATGACAGGCGTGTGCCACCGCGCCTAGCCCAGGGTAGACTTCTTTCTTTGGGCCCCGGGGCCCCTTTCTCCTTGCCCCTTGGCGCACCGACTAAGATACAAGCCCCTTTAGCTAGACATTCCGATTCTTTACCTAAAACCTTCCAATTTGGAAGTAACTCTGGCTATTCGAAAGGCTGGCACTCCTTAGAAAAGGGGCCGAGAGGATGGGCTGGGGGTGGGGCAGGGAGACAGACAGGAGACCCAGGGTGTCCCGGATGCGGAAGCAGGAAGACAGACGCAAAGGCGAGGCGCGGGCCGGCGCGCAGGCACCCACCCATGTTCCAGGTGCCGATGAAGATGGTGATCATGTCGGGCTCCGGCTGCTCCGAGTGCTTGTTCTTCATCTGCTGCAGGAGCTGGCAGAACCCCTCTCTCTTCTGCGGACGGAAAGGGTAAGACTGAGCGTGGCCTGGCTCTGCATTTTGCAAAGGACTCAGCCCCGAGGGCAGTGAGTGCCGCGCACGGTGGCGGAGCAGCTTGGAAACAAGTGTGCCCAAGTATGAACGGCTCTTCTCTGACCCAGATATGCCACTGCCGGGTGGGGGTGACTCCCAGAAAACAGTAGGGACCTGCAAAAGACCCCACCCTCACCACGACCCTGCACAGCACACACTGGGATCTGCAACTCAGGAGCGAGCCTCATGCCCAGTCCTGGGGGATTCGTGAGTAACTGTCGGACCATCCACCAGCTAGGACAGCACAGGGCCTACAAATGATGTGCAGAAGCACTTTGTCACAAAAGAGAGGTTATGGGCTGGGGATTTAGCTCAGCGGCACAGCGCCTGCCTGGCAAGTGGGAGGTGTTGAGTTCGATTCCCGGTAAGGGGGCCCGGGGGGGGGGGGGCGTTGCCAAGATACATCATTACACATGAAAAATGATATGAATGGCATCCCTGTATTTTTTATTTTAACAAAACATCTGGGCAGGTGTGGTGGCTCACACCTGTAATCCCAGCACTCAGAAGGCTGAGGCAGGAGGATCACTGCAAGTTCCAGGGCAGCCTAGACTAGATAGCAAGACCCTGTCCCCCAAAAAACACCAACAAAAGAAAAGAACACATCTGGTGCAGTATAGCCCAAGGCCAACTAGTGGTACATGGGTGTTTTTATCTTAAACTTGTGCTTACTTGTATTTGTTACCATTTCACTGGTGAGAGTGGGTTACTGATGTAATGAAAGAAAATTTTAAGTTAAAGCAGCTAACTAAAAGGAAAAGGGCACGTAAAGGCCATCACAGCTACCTTCAACTTTTTCAGGTATTTTGCCTGGGGCAAAGCAGAATCATGGCCCTCTTAGGATGTGGGCCATAGGGAAGAACAACTTTAAATGCCACAAAATTTCAGGTCACACCATGTGCAAGACTGGCCTTTGACTGTTTTGCAATTTCGTATGATTTGAACTCCTAATCGCAAGTCTCAGTGAGGTCCCTCAGAGGGGGGCTCCGGTTCAGGAAGCTGTGACTGACAGTGGCTGGTCTGTCGATACCAGCTGTAGCTGGCAGTGGCTCACAATTTGGTGTCTCAGCCCCCGACCCCTCCACCCCTGAGCTTGCCGCAAAGGGCAGAGCTAACCGGGTTTGGACCTATCACCCTGTGCCAGGGCACCGTGCAGCAAGGCGATTTCTCTCTACCCCTGCCGCCTGTCTGGCCCCTACTCCCGTGTTCTTCTCAGCGTCCTCCCACTGTCCTGCCAGCTGTGCCCCCGCCCCCGAGCTCCCTGCTACCTCCCCTGATCCCTGCCCTTTTCTTATTTTGGACAGGATCTCATTAAATTGCTAGGGCTGGGCTTGAATGTGCGATCCTCCTGCCTCAGCCTCCAAGAGTGCTGACTACAGGCGTGAGCCACCACACCTGGCTATGGCTGGGGCTTCTGAGATGGATGATCGGGTGGCAGAGCACCCCAGGCTGCCCCCCAGGCACGTGGCAGCTCTTCCTGGGGCTGAAACCCAGCCCAGCCCAGCTGCCCCCGAGCATGGTCCCTAGCTGCTGTGACCTCAGTTTCCCCAGGTGTGAAACAGTGACTTACGGACACCATGGACCTCGGAAGACAGCCGTCCCCACTTACTTTAGAGTCAGCAAAAATGTATTCCTTCCGCAAGGTCTTCTCCTTCTCTGTTTCCACCAAAATCACCAACTTGTTCAGGAACTTCTGAGACTTGATGAGCTGCAGGACTTGGGGGAAGGGAAGTCTGCTGTCGGCCCACGTACCCGGCCAGCGGGTCCGAGTCTGCACCACGGGCCACCCCCACCCCCACCGCTATCAGCTCCTGGGCCCTTTGTGGGTTCCGTGGGCTGAGTCAGGGGTCTCAGTTTTTCCAACCACGCGCTTAAAGTTTGGTATTTTGGTTCCCATGTGTGGGCTTTATTATCCGTCTGCCGCCCAGAGGTCAGAATCCTGTCACTGTGCGTTTTTCTCTTGCTTTCCCGTGAGTGCTGCCTTCCAAAGGGAAGTGATGATAGCAGACGCATCCAGCTACTGTCTTTTTCTGTTTTTTTTTTTTGAGAGAGGGACTCACTGTGTGGCCCAGGCTGGCCTTAAACTCAAAGTGATCCTCCTGCCTCAGCCTCCCAAGTCGCTGAAGTTATAGGGGTGTCCTACTGTAGCCTCAAGCTAGGAGCTCCCCCAAAGGGGAGTCCAGGTGGCCTTGCCAGCAGTAGCAGGAAACCACCCATGACATGGTGCGCAACACCGGATGCCCTAGGACTCTCTCAATCTTCTACTCTCAGGCCGTGTCTCTCCTCCCCCAGAATTTCTGGTTTTCCTTGACATCTGCTTACAGGATTCTGGTTGCTGTTAGGATCTGACAACCTGCTTATCAGAACGATTATTCCACAATGGGCAGTAAGTGGCTCACTTTCCCTACATCACGTTAATAAAACCAGAAGCTCCCAGACTCAGGAGGCTGAGGCAGGAGGATCACCAAGAGTTCAAAGTTAGCCTGGGCTGCACAGTGGGACCCTGTCTGAAAAGCAAACAAACAAATCAGTATGCATTTGTGCATCACTTCCTCTTTGCCAAGCACTGTCCTAGACCCGGGGGTTTAGTGGTGAACCAGAGACCACATCGCAGCCTTTGTGGAGTATATGCGAAAGTACCACAGGGGGTGCTGGGATTTCCCAGCAGGAAGGCAAGCATCCGGACAACTGGTCTTCCCTGAGAAGGCACCTGCACATACCGGGGCTGCACAGAGCTGGGGATCCCAGGCGTGTGAGGCCCAGGCCCCACCTCTCTGGTTCCCGGAGGACAGGGGTCAGGACAGAGAGCGAACCCTCCCAGCTGGGCAGGGAGGAGTCCGGCGGCCCCAGAGGGTCTGTGCTGATGAGGGTGCCGTGCTGACCTTCCCCTCCTTGACCTCTTTATGTTTGAACTCTAGGGTGAATCCCAGTCCGGCTGATCAGCATACACATTCTCCCCATCGCTACTGCAACAGTGACATCTGCCCTCTTAGGACTTTTCAGAACGCAGAATTAATCCGTCTCGGACCGTCGTACCCCCATTTCTCCTGCCAAACAGCACCACGGCAGGGGCCCTGCCCCGCCCCTTGAGCTGCCTCACCCTGTCCCACTGCTCCCTTCTGCCTCCCCACAGCGACCCTGGAAGACCGGCCCCACTGTCCGGAGCGCCCCGGATGCCAGTGGCCGTGTGGTTGGCTCTTTCGCTTTCCAGCTCACCACAGCCCTGCAGGATGCGACCTCTGTCCCGTGAACAGGAACCAGGGAGAGCGCACCGGGCCAAGGTCACAAGGCGCTGGGCTGGGAATTACGCTTGGGCTTCCTTTATTTATTGTTTTGGTTTTTTGAGACCTAGTCTCGCTATGTAGTTCAGTTTGGCCCTGAACTCGCAACCATCCTCCTGCCTCAGCCTCCTGAGCCCTGGGATTACAGGTGTGTGCCTGGGCTTGTCACACTCCACCAAGCCACTGATGGGGCTGCAGACCCACTACCCCAGCACACGGCACCTCAACATGGGGAGTACTGGACTCTCTGACCATCCTGGAAGCAGGTAATAAGCTCAGCATGGACCATGCCCTCCCTACGCCTGGAAGCAAGGGAATCTGTCTCTCTCCGAGGACAGAAAGGATCTGAACCCCCAGCCCTGCTAAGCACTTGCTCCGTTTCCGCACTCAGTCACACCCCACATCCTGTCCGCGGCTCCCCCGGTGTCCCCTCGTCACACTGAGCCCAGACCCACTCAGGCTCAACGCCAGCCTCGCGTCCGCACTCCACGGGAGCCCTGCCGGGTCCCACAGCGCTTACACGGAGCCCATCTACGTGCCCTCCTCCTGCTAATCCCGCTCGGCCTCTGCCCAAACCTCGAGAGGGAAGGAGGAAAGCTGTCTTTCACTTCTACAAGGTGTGACTGAAAAATACACTGAATGCTTAAATTAAAAAAAAACAACACAGCAAAAGACACGTAGCCATCTGCCCCCTCAGAATTCTCCCTTTGCCTCAGACACTCGTCTCCTCGCACTCGCCACCTCCCGAAGTGGCTCTGGGGTCCTCTTCCGCGAGCGTCTTTAGTTGTGCTGTCAGGGCTGCCTCGAGGTCCTGAATCCGTTCAGAATGTTGGTCTTTTATAGTCACCTGGACTTTGGGGAAGAGCCGGAAGTTGCCGGGTGCCGAGCTGGTGGGTGAGGCGGACGAGCACGCACCGCAGCGCTTTCGCGGGCCTGCCTTTCCTTGGAGGCACCCCGCAGCGGCAGTCACTGTGTCCTGGACCACATCTCTCAACGACACTCAGGAAAGGGGACTTCCAGAGCTGCTTCAGAAAGTGGCAAGCACGGTGGGACCAGTGCATTTGAAACGAGATTATGAGGGGCATTTGTGGCTATGTGTCATTTACTGCAGCCCATTTTTTTTTTTCATTTAAGCAGCTCAAGCCCAAGGATCACAGCAGGCCTTAGAGAAGGCCGTGTGCCGGGCTCACTGCCGTGCCACTCACTTAATCTTCCTCATCTCTGTTTTACAGCAAAGGAAACTGAGGCCCTGAGAAGCAGGCCAAGTCACACAGCTGCTGAGACAGCTTGGATGTGACAAACCCAAAGACCACACAGCTGCTGCGTGACAAAGCTAGGATGTGAATTTGCAGTTTGATTCCAGGGTACACATACATCAGCGCCAGTCAGTCTGTGCTGTGCTAACAATACCACCTGCCAAGGATACCATGCCATCTGGGCAGGCCCTGCACCAGGCATGGCAGGTGACAGGGTGAGTCGGATCGGCTGTGTGTGGGGAAGAGACACCGTCACATACAAACGCATGGAATTGCCACACACACACACAACACACACACACCTGCTGCTAGGGCAGGGCATGCCAAGTGCCCCCAGCAAGGTGTAGGCTCTTCCCTGGGGGTTCACAGTGGGCAGGGGAGGCCCCATAAAGGTGATCTCAGAGCAGGACAGGAATCCCACAGTCAGGGTGAGAGCGGTGCCTGGCCAGGGCAGGGGTCACCCTCTGCAAAGGGGTGGAATGTGCCCAGCGGGTTCCGCTCCTCCTCCCAGCCTGCTATCAATCAGTCACCTACTGACCAGTCACCCTTAGAAGCCTTACTTTTCTTATGGCTATAGAACTTGTCATCGGAGCCATCCTTGGACTTCTTAATGATCAGTTTCCCAGACTCCACGTCGACTTTGAGCTGCATTTTTTGAGGAATCCCCAGAGACTCGGCCTTCACCTTTGTAGAGAGACAGATGCAGTTTGTTGATGTTCCAGCTCTGCTTTGGCCATGCTAACCTGTGAGCCCCAGGTCTACATGGCCAGGTGGGGACCTCAGGACCCCATCCTTGCCCATAGGTGTTCCACAGTCTCTTGGTGAACCGCTCATCCACTGCTCACCCCAGCTGTTCCGCCAACAGGGTTGGTGGAGGAAACAGATGAGGGGGGGGGAGTGGTTCATTCACTGATTGCTCCGATGACACTTACTCATCGGATGTGTCAGCTACTTCCAGGAAGGATGTGAGTAATTAAGAGACAGCTAAACTCCGGGGTCCTGTTACAACCACTAATTGAACACTTACTGATAATTGGGAGGGTGTCTAGGCGTGCTTGGAAAGTGGAAATCTGTCTTTTACAGGAGTATTTCTAGGGCCAAAGAAGACTTTGAAGTCGGGGGCGGGAGTGGGGAGAGAAAGTTTTTCTAAATTCGGGACCAGGCAGGTTGGGCTGGATCTACGGGAACCACGGGGGCTCATGAAGCAAAGCCCATTCTGGGTCCAAGCCTGGAGATTCCAATAGGTCCCTCTCGGAGGAATCACAGGAATTCTCGGCTTCTCCAGCCACGGGTGCACCCAGTCCCGCGTCTCTCCTGAGCCGAGGAGGAGCAGCTGTCCCCTCGCTCTGTCCCTCACGGGCGCTTCCAGGCAGCGCTCCAATGTTGAACCACTGTCCCAGCTAGGAGGCCCCACCCACCGCCACCCCCCACGCTTAGGTTCCCTTCCATAGCCCAAGCCCAAAACCCTCTTTCCAAGGGAGCAGGACGTCCCCCAAGTGTGGGGCGCAAGGCCAGGCACCCGGGACCACTCACCTCAAAGGTGACGGGTGGGATGAGGGAACGCCAGTGGGGAGACTCGGGGCCCTCGTGCAGCAGGGCCTTGACCTGCGGGTGGCAGCGATGACCCAGCATCAGCGGGGACGCAGAGCCTGAGCCTGTGATTCTCTGTGCAGGAAGAGGGCCCCCCAGAAGCCACGGGACCCCCCAGTACCTTGTCTTCAATGGAGGACAGCAGGCTTGTCAGCTGGCTGAGCTTGGCCACCATGTTGACCGGACTGGCCTCGAAGGCGACCTGGGAGACGAGATCGAGAAGGAAGCCGCTGCTTCCGTCCCGCCAGCCGCCCCCGCACAGCCTCACCGTGCCCTCTGCGGACAAGGACGCCAGGGCTATCTACGAGCACCTCAAAATCCGCACAGCCAGAAAATAGCTCCTCGTCCTCCCCCAAACCCGCCTTCCCTCCGGCTTCTCACCACCCACTCTGAGGCTTCTCGACTGGGAGCCGTTCCCAGTCGTTCCCTCTCCCCCACCCACGTCGCCTGCACTGGTTTCCCGCTCTGCTCCCAAATATACCCTGGCCCACAGCTGAACAGCCTGGGCCGGCCACTTCTACCACAGGGAGAGCAGGACCCCGTCCTGGGGGCTCTGTACCACGTAGACCCTCATCCAAGCTGCTCTCAGCCTGTCACCTGCCATGATCTGCACTTCTTTGTTTGCCTTCTTTTTTCTTTTTTCACTGTATTGGGGACTGAACCCCCGGGCCTTCACACTGAGCTACATCCCTAGCGCTTTTTATTTATTTTTGAAGCAGGATCTAGCTAAGTCACTAAAGTACCCTGGCTAGACCCTGAATTTGTGTTCTTCCAGCCTCAGCCTCCCAGAGCGTTGAGGTGAGCATGTGCCACCACACTCAACTTTCTTTTAATCCACTGCCAAATCAGTGGGGTTTTGTATGTGGATTTATCCTTCCCTGGACTATGGGCGTGCTCCATCAGGCCGGGCTTGAGCTACATTTTGGGGTTTCTTGGTTTTTTTCTGTTTTTGAGACAGGGTTTCACCATGTAGTCCAGGCTGGCCTCAAACTCAGTGATCCTCCTGCCTCAGCCTCCTGAGCACTGGGATTGTAAGCCTGAGCCACCACACCTGGCTGTGAGCTACATTTTCCAGGATTCTCCAGAGACCTGGATTCCACTTGGGAGGGGCACCTCCTTGTCACTCGAGTCTCAGACCCACAAAGAAGCATCCCTGAGTACACACACCCCCTGAAACAGCCCCCGGGTCCTCGGCATCAGGTCATCCTGCTTCAGGCTGGGCTTGGTGGTGTGTGCCTGTAATCCTAGCACTTGGGAGGCTGAGGCAGGAGGATTGGTACGAGTTCCAGCCCAGCCTGGACTGCACAGCGAGACCCTGTCTCAGGAAAACAGACCACCCTGCTTTGTTCAGTCACCGAGAGCTCAGGTTGTGAGCTCACTGTGGGTTTGAGAACTGAGACCTAGAGCACCACAGCTGGGGGCTTGGAGAGCGCCTGACCAAGGAGGTGGCTCAGCTGGGCCGTCAGCGGCCAGGTTCCGGGGGCTGCGGCTGCTCGCCTGAAGTCACACAGCCGATGAACAGAGGAGCAGGGCTCGGACCCTGCCTGCCTGGCAGCCAGCCCACGACCCCGGCCGGCTGTGCTGCCAGGCACTGGAGACGCCTCGCTCACGAGGCGCTGTCCCTGTTCACCTCTGGTGGTTTCTTTTGCTGTGCGGAAGCTTTATGCGCTCCCACCTGATGATCCCCGGTACTATTTCCTGTGCAACCGGGATTCTGTTCCCAAAATCCTCTCCTGCGCCCATGACTTCAAGAGTTTTATTTATTTTTTCTTCCTCATCCATAAAGACAAACTTGAGTCGTGTAGGAAAACAGATGCACCTTGTTACGGTTTCTAACTAGATGTCCCCCCCTCTGTGCTCAGAGGTGGGGGTCCAGGAGGTGACGGGTTGCAGGTGTGTGACCCTGGGCTAGCTGCTGCTGGGCTTCTGTAGGTGTGAAGCGGGAGCCTGTAGGGGAGGTGGGTCACTGTGGGTGTGGCCCGGAAGAGTGTATGCTGCTCCTCTCCTCTCGACATCCCTCCCTGCTTCCTGCCTGCTATGCCACGGGCTGTTCCTCCTCTGCGCTGCCCCACTGCCTGGGACCAGCCAACTGCGCACCGAAGCCTCTACACGCTGTGAGTCAAACTAAGCCTCTCCTCCCTCAACGTATGGGTGTCTGGTACCGTGTCCCTGCAACACCAGGAGACCATAATGCTAAGTGAAACAAAGCACGTGCGCGCGCACACACACACACACACACACACACACACACACACACACACGAAGCTGGGTGTGGTGGCGCATGCCTGTAATCCCAGCACTCGGGAGGCTGAGGCAGAAGGATCGTTGCAAGTTTGAGACCAGCCTGGGCTACAAAGTGAGCTCAAGGCTAGTCTGAACTGCATAGCGAGACCTTGTTTCAAACAAACAAACAAAAACCCATGAGGGGTTGGGGATATAGCTCAGCGGCACAAGCATCTGCCTGGCAAGGGCAAGGTCCTGAGTTCGATTCCCGGTACCAAAAAAAAAAAAAGAAACAAAAAAAACCAAAGCAGACACACAAGCTCAAGTATTACGTGGTTTCTCACACGAGTATAAAGTACAAAGGAAGAGCAAAATAACAGACAGGTAATAGCAGTAGGGAGGTAGATCTTTCATCACGAGATAGAGGGAGAGGCAAGGGGAGGGAGGGAAAGGAATGAAAATAAGAATTATGATGTGGCTGGGCATGGTGGTGCACGCCTGTAATCCCAGCACTTGGGAGGCTGAGGCGAGAGGATTGTTGCGAGTTGGAGACCAGCCTGGGCTACACAGTGAGCTCAAGGCCAGCCTGAACTGTATAGTGAGACCTTGTCTCAAAAAAAAAAACAAAACACACACACACACAAAAAAAAGAATTCTGATGTGTTATGAGCACAGACCAACTTCCCACAAGGAATGCAAACATTATGTATAGCACACATGTACAGTACTAATAAAAAAATTCTAAAAATAATATAAAACATAAGGCGCTGCCCCTGCCCTACTGAAATGGGATGGAAAAATCAGGCACATTATGATCAACTCGAACACCAAGCAGAATGGGGGGAGTTGTCACCAACCAAGTGATGTCCTTTCCCCATGTCCCTTGCTCAACTTATCCACCAGGGTACATTTGCTTTTGACTTCAATTTTCTGCTCACTTAAATACATCATTTCTATCATCACCACTGCCATAGCCTCCGTCACCTCCACCACACCAGTAACGGCGTCGCCATTAACAGATGAGGTCAGGTGGGGATGGCCACAGACCGCATGGCCATCAACAGTGCCACCAACATCATCAGCGTGGCCAGGCTGGATGGCACACGCCAGTAATCCTGGCATTCTGGGAGGCTGAGGCAGGAGGATTGCAAGTTTGAGCCCTGCTTGGGCAATTTAAGGAGACTTTATTTCAAAATAAAAAATTTAAAAAGGAGCTGGAGATCTAGCTCAACATAGAGGCCGCAGGTTCAAGCTCCAGGACCCCCGAATCAGTAATGCCTCCACCAGCCAACATCAGCACCATCTCCACCCTGTCACCTGCTATGGCAATGTGTGGCTCCCACCTATCATGTACGGAAAGCTAACCTCCAAACCCTACGGAGACGGGACCTGAGCGGGGGAACCTTTGGGAGATGACTGCGTCCTTGCGTCACGTCATCTCGTCATCTGCCACAAAGACTCTGAGTGCGCTCTTCCGTGGAGGCTATTTAAATTTGAGAGTCTGGCTGCCCCAGTTTTCTCTAGATTTGCTTTTACTTTCTTAGAAATTAACCCATCGTTTACTTCGAAGAAAGCAAAAGAAAAAATTTTTTCTGGCACATTTTTTCAGTCATATACATAGAACATAAAAACATTTTCTCTGTAAAAAAATTCCATGGAAGACCAGAATAAGCCACCTCAAAATATGCTTCTTTGGCTTATTTCAAGATGGCTATTCAGAGAAACTGCAGACATGGGAATAGCTCCAGGAAACTGTCCTTTTGTCAAAGAGATGTGCAGCCTTCTCCAACAGCCATGTACCAGGGACTCACTTGGAGGTCCCTCACCCCCTGTCTGCATCTAGGATGGGTCAGGGGGACCCCTCACCCACAGCTGGGGGTTTTATTCTTGTTTTGTTTTTATTTAGGTTTTATTCTTGTTTTGTTTTTGTTTTTTTTTTGAGACAGGGTCTTGCTGTGCAGTTCAGGCTGGTGTTGAACTCACTCTGTAGCCCAGGCTGGCCTCAAACTCCCAGCGATCCTCCTGCCTCAGCCTCCTAAGTGCGGGATGACAGGCGTGCGCCGCCACGCCCTGTCCACACTTCTTAGTGCACTTACAGCTCCCAGACAGCTGCTAAGCTGTGGAACTGCTTGAAAATCTGCAGCTCGTGGTTTCAAACAAGCGGCCACACTGCTGTTCAAAAAAGCTGCCTCGGGGCTGGGGATTTAGCTCAGCAGCACAGCGCCTGCCTGGCAAGCGCGAAGTTGTGAGTTCAACTCCTGGTACTGGAAAAAAAAAAACAAAAAAACAAAAAAAAGCCACCTCCATTCCCACAGGGGGAGGTGTGAGCCTGTATGGCACTGCCACCCAAGCCCTGGCGGGTAAACTCGGCAGTTGCCTCCAGCAGCTGAGGGTGTGCTCTGGTTACTGCCCAGGGAGGCTGGGCATCTTTTCCTGTACACACTGCATATTCCTCATCCCTCTAGAGGGAACAAACTTTTTTTTTTTTTAATAACTTTTCCTTACTTAGAAATTTGCATTGGGCCGGGTATAGTGGTGCTCACCTGTAATCCCAGCACTTTGGAGGCTGAGGCAGGAGGATCATCATGAGTTCAAGGCCAGCCTGAACTACATAGTGAGACCCTTTGTCAACAGAATAAAACAACCAACCAAACAAAAAACCTTGGATTGTGCTCTCATTAAAAAAAAATTAATGAGTTTTTTAAGGCATATTAATCCTCTATCCCAAATATTTCCTCTCATGATGCTGCTTTTGCTTGTCTTAATTATTATTATGTTCAGGTGGGGGTTTTTTGAAACAGGGTTTCACTAAGTTCAGGCTGGCCTTGAATTTACGGCAATCTTCCTGCCTCAGCCTCTAGAGTGCTGTGCCACTGTCCCTGCTAGCTTGTCTTTTTAACTTTACCCAGGACACTTAAAAAAACAAAAACAAAAAAAGCCCCGCACATATCTATGCTTAATGGGCAACATGCCCTTCGCCCCTGCCTGGTCATCAGCAGGTGTCAGGGAGGGACACCTTCATCCTAGTCCTCCTGGGGGAAATAAGAAATTATATATA